TGTGCACCCCTGCCTATACCCACCCTTCAGCTCATGCGGAGGATCCCAGGTGTTCCCGGGCTAGCTGAAAGTCCTTTCAAGTCAGTGGGGTGTCGTGTGAGGTCACACAGGAGGAGCTCTGAATAGAGCTGCTGCTCCTCCACCTGTAGAGGAGCCAGTTGAGGTGACTTGGGCATAGTTTGGGATGCCTCCTGGACGCCAGATGGTAGAGTTTCGTTTGGGCCTGAAAAATTAAGCCCAACCCGGCCCGAGCCCGCTAATGTTAAGCCCGAGCCCGACAGACCCCGACACATCTGATTTCCTTGTTGTACGCACTCACCTTCCAATCGCAAGTTTAGTCTCCACTTTTGAATTTGTTTTGTCTCCACTCGATCCATTTCTACTATTGTTCCTGTTCGCTGTTGACCACAGCATGCAGCAGGAGACACGGGGATGATGCGTTCACGGCTCGCTGCTGCTGTAGGACACGCTGGTTACGGTATCATTAATATATTAACTTTTTTTAATAACTTGTTATCAGTCAACGGACATTGTTATTAATATATATATATATATATATATATATATATATATATATATATATATATATTAATAACAATATATATATATATATATATATATATATATATTAATAACAATATATATATATATATATATATATATATATATATATATATATATATATATATATATATATATATATATATATATATATGTATATATATATATGTATATATATATATTGCCCGAGGCCTGCTCGGGCTCTGGCTGAAAAGCGAAACTCGACCAGATGGCCATGTACCACTGAGAGCAGACAGGGGAAGACCTTTGACATGCTGCAGGGAGGGACTGTGTCTCTCTGCTGGCCGTGGAATGCCTCAGGATTCCCCCTGGATGAGCTGGAGGAAGTGTGTGGAGAGGGAAGTCAGAACATCTCTGCTCATACTTCTGCCCCCATGACCCAGAAATGGATAAAGTAGAAAAAAAATGGATGGATGGTATTTTTAACCAAATAATTACTTTAATTAAATATCAGTATATATATATATATATATATATATATATATATATATATATATATATATATATATATATATATATATATATATATATATATATATATATATATATATATATATATATATATATATATATATATATATATATATATATATATATATATATATATATATATATATATATATATATATATACATGTATTTTTTTTTATTTTTTTTTATACATATATATATAGGTCTTAGGCTCAGCGTTGTAGACTGGGTTTAATTTTGTTTACTTCGAATCATGGGTCTATTCATTTATTTATTTATTTAGGGTTCAATGTTTCTAATGTTTAAATTTAAATGCAGTGGTTGTTTTATTGATATATTTAGCTTTAAAACCTATTTTTAAACACACTCACATCAAACTTTGATGTCCACTAGGGGGCCACAGAATGACCAGTATGACAAAAAAAATATTACGTAATTAACTATGGTCAATATTTAGTCCGTCCCAGGGCGGCTGTGGCTACAACAATTACAGATTTTATCAATTGTTTTAACAGTGAACAATAAGAGCCTCTGTCATATTAAACCCATACAAATGCTATGTTGTAGAGTTGGTTGCTCCTGTGCCAAGCCCCGGCGATCCAAGATGGCGCCCTATTCAAATGAATGGTTGTGCTCAGTGGCGCTTTGTGACAGCATGGGGGCTGAAAGATTAGCGGAAGTTGCCTGAAACTCGCAAAGATCTATGGGAAACTCGCCTGTATTTGGGCATCGTCTGGTCCTCCCGGTTCTGCTCAGTGGATGATCTCCTATAATGCGTTGCGCCAAACACGCGTGTGTGGGTCTCACACCGGGTCTCACGCACGTGCACAGAGGGGCTCGGCCGCGCTCTGACCAATCAGAGCAGTTCATCAGAGCGGGAGTTAGAGCGAGAGCCAGAGGAGCAGAGTTTGTGGCACTAAAGTGTGGATTTAAACAAAACCGAAGGATTTAAGAAGAAAAAAAGTTCAGGATGACAAGGGACACTAAAATCCCCACAAAATCCGATCTTTATTAAAGCTGTAGGTTCTCTGTCAGCTGAGGTCGAGCTGTTTTAATTTGCATTGAGTTCTATGGGGAAAATTTCTGGGTAGCCCACGTGAATTTAGTCTGGTTCAGTCTGCAGTACCGCGAGAATCCCCTGAGCACATGAGTTATTCAGCTACAAGCTAGTAATACCCTATCCAGTTAATATAATACATCCATGTCCTGTGCTAGCTATACTCTGCCTGGTGGTGAGTTACCGGCGTTATACATGTTTGTTTTGGACTCATCTCGTGACTGTTTTACACAACGTACGGACCACTTTACTCTTGTCACTCTCGTTTACTTAAAAATACTGCCATACGGCCGACATCCGCTTGCCGCTAGCTTTCCGGCTAAGCTAAGCTAGCGGGGAGTGCTTTCTTGCTGTCTGCTATCATGATGCTAATGTGTAAAATCATTGTATAAAATCAGATTTATACATTAAATCCCTCAGCTCTTTTGAACGTCTCTTGTCTGTGTGAATACAGATGTGTTCAGTACAAATATGGCCCCTGCTGACACACTTTCAGCCTGTTCTGTACACGTTCCCTGGTTCAACCCTGTCATTTTCATGTCTGACCTGACACTGGAGAACTGGGTCACTCTGTCTGACGATGTGAAGACACACCTCGGCCTCAAAACCCAATGGCATGAAGGCAGCCTGCAGCGACAGCAGTATTTTTACTCTGTTCTATCTCTCATTTTGGGAGCGGCCGTATAAGAGAAAGTCCTCACTCGTAATGATATGGCTCTAACTGTATATTACATCCATTTTGACTTTGTTGAATTGGTTCAAAATCATGAATTACAATCATCAAATGCTGCGTGGTCTTCAATTAGCGGTTTTTAACATGAGCTGAGAACGAGATGATAGGTTAGGAGAGATACCAGAGAGAGAAAGAGAGGGAGACCAGAGAGATAGAGACCAGAGAGAGAGAGAGAGGCCAGAGAGAGAACCATCTTCAGGTTCAGATTGAACTCACCTGATGAAATGGGTGAAGGCTGGTGTGCTCCTGCTCGGTTGGAATGAAAACCCACAGCCATACAGCCCTTTGAGGACCAGTAAATCACCAAACTGTTGTTGTGTCCTTAGGCAAGACACTTAATAATAATAATGCATCGGTTTTATATAGCGCTTTTCTGGACACTCAAAGACGCTTCACATGTGTCATTATTCTTTCACTCCATACACGGTGGTGATAAACTACTGCTGTAGCCACAGCTGCCCTGGGGCACACTGACAGAAGCGAGGCAACCAGTATGCGCCATCGGCCCCTCCGACCACCACCAACCATTCATACACACACCAGACTCATTCTAGGCAATGGGGGTGAAGTGTCTTGCCTAAGGACACAACGGCAGTTTGGCACTTTACAGCCGCAGCCGCCCCACTGTGGCTGGTGTTCCCAGAGGTTAAGTGTCTTGCCAAGGACACAACGACAGTAGTCAGTGGCAGTCGATGGTGAAAGTCTTGAGCGGGGCTTGAACCCACGACCTTCTGGCTCAAAGGCCAAAGCTCAACCAACCGCTTGTCTTGCTTTTGTCAGTGTACCCCAAGGCGGCTGTGGCCATTTCCACTGTGTCTAAATAATGCTGTGAAGCATCTTTGAGCGTCCAGAAAAGCACTGTATAAAGCTCATACATTATTATTATTGTTATGAGTTGATTTCCCTACATCCGTTTAATGCAAGATTTGGAGATCCATTATTATTAACCCATTAAAGATTTAACATTATAGAGTGTAACCAGATCCAGCTCTAATATACCTCTCATTCCTCTTTTATGAAGCGTGTATGTTTGATTAGACCACAGAGCGGGGACAGAGCGGTGTATTGTCCACGCCCTAGACTCGCATAAGGAGACCAGTGTTCAGATAAGCCTGCACTTTGGAGCAGCAGTCCGTAAGTTACCCCAGGAATGTGAGTCATTAGCTCAGTAATCGCGGGCTTAGGAGATCTGCGGGAAATAGGACTTTAATTCTGTATATGCAGGTCTGCTATTATGCAGATTGGGAATTTTAGTGTGAATTGATTGATTTGACAGGTCTAGAACACGTTTACAAGACTGAAGTATTGAAAATAGTCAAATGATTAAAATATTTAATTATGATTAATCACATTAATGTCATAGGTAACTCATATTTAACTGCACATTTGCATCATTTCTAGATGTTCTTGAAGCAGAAAAGCTCGCGCAGCAAGGCTTGTTTCATATCAGAATTCTGGGGCATGCACAACATAGGCCGAGACTTTTTAACTTTTTAAACATGTAATTTTGATAGATGTCTATGTATTGGACCTGGGTGTTATCTGGACACAGTATACCAGCTTCATGTGGGCCTTGTTTATGGGCTGATTCACACTTTCATTTAACATACGCAACATGGGCAACAAACGCTCTGTTTCCACCAGCCATCCTCTACTCTCCTCTGCCCTCCTTAACTCTCCACTACTCTTGTCCTGGTCCTGCTTAACCCCAGGTCCTTCTTCAGTCCCTCTTGGCTCTGGTTCTCTCCAGGCCAAACTTGAGCTAAGGGGTTCTGACTGACAATGACTGCCCAGAATGCTGCTGCAAGCCATGGTTACCAAGGAATTTCCCCAGATAATCCAACTAGGTAGAGTAGAGTAGAGCAGAGGTAGAGTAGTGTAAAGTAAAGTAGAGCTGGTGAGGAGTAGTTAAATGCTGCGCTGTTTTATTGTGCGTTGCCAGACTGCAAAGACCATTGAAAAATCCTCCCCCAATAAAACTTTTTTGGTTTCTTCTCATCTGCAAAAAACATTTAGTTTAATTGAGGATTGCCCAAATTAAGGACTCATTCATGTACAGTATAAAGTGGAAATCCCCAGGTCAGTTTGAGGCCGGTAATGGATGCAATTATCTGTTTAATTATAATGTTTAAGTCCAAACAGTGATGGGTTTAGAAGTCTAGGGATTGACTTTACAGCTCTGCTCCAGTGTTTGGTGCTCTGTAGTCTTGTCAACCACCACACTCCACAACCATCTCCTTAGCTTGCCCAAAGGATTGAAGGGACTCTCCCACAAAGGGCATGCGTGGATGTCAAAACATAGGGGGCTGTCAAAAAATTACATTTTTGAATCAAGTTAATTTTAGCTTAAAAATTATGTCATCGTAATTATTCGTATTTCGAACTATCGGCAAAATGATGCCATATTTTTCTGTAAACGGTTGTTTGAATGGAAAGATCTAAGATAACATAGTGTACATATGTACTGTACTTGTTTATCATAACAACAATAAATCCACATAAAATGGCATTAGCATTATTAACGTTCTGTCTTTCTGTAGTAGACACAATCTTTTCAGTTTGACATATTCCGTTTCAGCTAAAGCCTCCTCTTTCTTCTTTTACTCTGTCTCATAAAGGCTGTGGAAAAATTAGGTATCCCTGCTTTAATTTAGCGAGTTTAGTTACGTTTCCGGAGGAGAAACGAAGGAGTCACGGACACTTCCTGAGGCTCCATAGTGCAGCTTCAGCAGTGTATTAATTGTGTACACAGGTTACGCAAAGACACGTACACAACAAGCAGAGAATGGTTCTGTGGCGTAAATGATCTTGGATATGACCACGTTTCGGCTGCGCCGTTCACCGTGTTGTCAAAACGGCTCACAGCCGCTGGAGGTGGGAATGGCTGGCCCAGGTCAGAGTGCTGTGGACTCCTGTTCGAGTTCATACAGCAAACAACAGCAAGTGCTCTGTGGTCACCCACGTATTCTTTATAAACTTGAATTCCCAGAGGGCCTACCTGCTCTGTCGTCATCACTTGCATGTGTCCGCGGCATTCTTGGTGTTATTATGGGACGCATGGGCGGGTCATTCGGTAAATGTGTTCATTTTTTTGACGCAATTAATAAGAAATATATAGTTAGCGTGCGTTAACACAATAATTTTGACAGCCCTGATTTGAATAGAACTTATTGAACATTTTGCATACTGTGGTTCAAGTTCCAAAGAGAGAGTGAGTTTAAGAAACACTATTTGCAAAATATCGTTCATAGTCCCAAAACTCTACACACACAAGAACCTGACACAACACTGGGACACAAACCATCAAAACTCAAACTCTACTAGCAATACTCAAATTCTGCTCTCAAAACTAAACAATCAGTCCTCAACAGTGGCGTTCCAAGGGTACCCCGGGGCCCCAGGCAAAAGAGTCCTTGGGGGCCCCGATATCGACCACATAACCAGATTTTGTAATCCTACAAATTTAGGCTCTGAGCTTTAATCTGCAAAAAACGGCTTGTTTTTACCTTTTACCGTTCTTGAGAAATCTGTCATAGAATATAATATATATAGTTCAATCCAAAACCTAGATATCACTCGGCTTCGGACCCAAATCGTCGTGGCGCAAGCACTGCAACTTAACCACTAGACAACTATGACAATCTACACTTCTTTAACTCCAGGCAGGATTTTTACAGTAACTGTTAGTTTTTCTTTAATGCTTAAACACATTTTCACATCTCAAAACTCTAAACACAAACCACTAAAGCTATACATACGCACAACCTCACAGTCTCTTTTCAAAACCAACCCATCACACCAACACACTTACTCATATTCTCAAAAGCAAACTTTGACTCCAAAATACCTCTCAAGGTCTGCAAAAATGTGAACACATGAGCATCATTAACCACAATACCAAAACAATTGAAAACACAATTTTCAGAGTGTGAGACTGTAGTTATATCACAATTCAATGCAAAAATAAGTAACTCCAGGATCCAGACACACAATAGATACAACAGTACAGTAACAATGACACACAATAGATACAACAGTACAGTAACAATGACACACAATAGATACAACAGTACAGTAACAATGACACACAATAGATACAACAGTACAGTAACAATGACACACAATAGATACAACAGTACAGTAACAATGACACACAATAGATACAACAGTACAGTAACAATGACACACAATAGATACAACAGTACAGTAACAATGACACACAATAGATACAACAGTACAGTAAGAAAACACTACTTTCAGGGTGTGATTTATTTTATTACAGTATGTGTGCGACCTCTGGACAGAGCAGTCGCATTCTCTTGCTGCTCCTCGCTTTCTGCTTTTTTATCTCCTTTAATCATTTTTGCTTACATTTTTATTCCACAAAACACGGATTACTCCTTTTTACAAACTTCAACACAAGACTTGTGGAATTTACCTAACTTACAGCATGTCGGGAGGACGGGAAAACAGAACAAAACTTTGCGACGGCTGTTTTTCACTCAAACAGGAGCTAAAACTTCTTCAAGACCGAATGTTTGTGCTTGAATCAGAATTGGGGCTGAACACAACAATACCAATGAAGGGAAATGGACCAAATGGACAAAACGTAAGTTATGATGACGCTATTTCATTTCCCAAAATCAACAGAGACAATTGTTGGAACACATATGGTGCCAAGCCCAAACAAGGCAAAGCTAATGATAACAAGAGTGTCATAATGCCACAGCAAAAATCTTTAATTACAAGAAACCGCTTTTCCCCACTTTTGGAAGATGAATCAGCAGTAGTCTCTCAGTCCCAGTCTCAGTCTCAGTCAAGGTCAAATGCAGCTGAGTCGCTCTTTATCGGCGATTCGGCGATAAGACGCGTAAACATGCGTAATCTCAAGGTTCACTCAGTACACTCTGCCAAAGTGGATGAGATAAGGCGGCTGGCTCCGAGGCTTCTGTCTGAGACCGGCGGGGTAAAAAGATTGTTGATCCACGTGGGGGCAGTAGACGTCTATGACAACACAAGTGAAAAGTTGAAACGGGATTACTCTCTCTTATTGGACGACCTTGCTAAAATGGATGTAAAAATCGTTATCAGTGGCCCACTACCAAATGTGGACGGGAAGCAAATGAAATTCAGTCGTCTGTATCAGCTAAATACTTTCCTACTCAACGAATGTTCACGCAGAGGACTTGCCTTCATTGAGAATTTTAATCTGTTCTGGAATAGGCATGAGCTTTTTGAAGGGAAAGGGCCACATCTGAACACTTACGGAGTAAAAGTGTTGATGGATAACCTTTCTTTTGCCCTGAGACCTCAGCCTGCGCAGCTCGTGCAGCCATCGAAAAGGAGGAAGCCGACTCTAAAAGTCTCTGCACCTCCACCACCTCGAAGGATCTCAACACCTCCACCACATCGAAGGATCTCAACACCACCACCACCTCGAAGGATCTCAACACCACCACCACCTCGAAGGATCTCAACACCACCACCACCTCAAAGGATCTCAACACCACCACCACCTCGAAGGATCTCAACACCATCACCGCCTCAAAGGATCTCAACACCTCCACTGTCATCAGAAGCAGCTGCATCATCACCAGTAGCAGCACCAGCAGCACGACCACCACCACCACCAACATCCTCATCCCTAGCCTGCTCCAAAGCAGCCACGCCTTCTTCTTCTACAGCGCCTCTGAAGCCCCCATCCTCACCCCAGGCTACAGCAGACAGGCCTGTGCTGGGGTTTCCTCAACCACCTGCCCCTCCATCAAAGACTCCCTCGCCACCTCCCATGGACCTGTCTTGGGTCCCCCCTGCCACGTCCACTCCATCAAGAGAGAATGGGGACACGTCCCTTTGTTTTTCATCCCCGCCTTCACTGTTAGACCTACCTGAACACTCTGCAGGGCTAATAAAATCGGCGATGAAGACTATTCCTCTCACACCCATATTAGCTAGATCTAGAGTCCTGTCCAACATGCTAAACCACTCCCCATATGTACCTCCAAAACCACCTAGGGTTTCCAATTCAACCTACAAAAACCACCTCAGCCAGTCCCTCCCCTAACCTCATGACCATTCCACCCCCACTTCCCCCTCGTTCAGCACCCAAAACCTCTGCCTCAGCCCACCCCGGCCCTAACCCATCACCAAAAACCCCTCCACCTCCCTGCCCCCCTCGTTCAACACCCAAAAGCCACCCACCTCTCCATCCTCCTCCCCCGCCTTCCCCTTCCCCTCTTTTCTCTAAACACTAGGATGCACAGGGTCTCTGCTTCGCAGCCACTGGCAGTCTAGTTAGAGGAGAGACCCGGCTGGGGCCCTGTCATGAAGCCACCTGTGCCATTCCCGTAGTGATAACACAAAGAATACATTACAGAAAGACATCTGGAGTTAATAAGTCTAATCTGGAAAATCTAATTCTTGTTCCGTGTAAGAATCAGCCGACCACAACCGCTGATACTGAAACTTTGAAACTTGCTACGCTTAATGTCAGATCTCTTTGTAACAAGTCTTTTTTAATCAATAATTTTATTTGTTCTCATAATCTTGATCTTATGTTCATGGCTGAAACTTGGCTTGACCAAAATTCAGGAAATGCAGTTTTAATAGAAGCATCACCACCAAATTTCAAGTTTGAATCTGAAATACGGGAAAACAAAAAAGGAGGAGGCTTAGCTGCCATTTTCAGAGACCACTTTGTCTCCCATAGAATGTCTCTTGGGAAGTTTTCGTCTTTTGAATATGTGTCTTTTAAAATACAACAAAAACAATCTCCTCCAATACTCTTCATTGTCCTATACAAGCCACCGCAGTCATGTCACAGTTTTATTGATAATTTTACCGAGTTGCTTTCAGTTGTATGCACAGATTTTGATAGTTTGGTTATTACAGGTGATTTTAATATTCATGTGGATAATGTTGATGACAGAAATGCAAATGAGCTGAGTTCTGTACTTGAATCCTTTGATCTCACTCAGCACGTAAGTGGCCCCACCCACAGCAGAGGGCACACTCTAGATCTGTTAGTTACTAAGGGGGTGAATATTTCAAATGTAAACGTGGTCGATGTTGCTCTTTCGGATCATTTCTGTGTTTTTTTTGACATGTGTTTCACTAACAAACCACCAGTGGACTCTGCAACTGTACGAAGAAGACACATAAATGAAAATACGAGTGAACTATTTATGGGAATGATAAACTTTGAGAATGCATCGTATTCTACTGTAGATGAACTGTTTAACTCTGTCACCTCTAGTGTTTTGAATGTTCTGGATACCGTTGCCCCTGTGAAGGTTAAAATAGTGAAAAATAAGCAGAAGGCGCCGTGGGCTAAAGCAGACTCGGTCAGGGCACAAAAGAGAAAGTGCCGGAGGGCCGAGCGGAAGTGGCGCAAGTCCAACCTCCAGGTTGATTACGAGATCTTCAAAGATAAGTTGTGCGAGTTTAACCGGGTGCTACGTAGTACGAGAGAAAGGTATTTTTCTGAAATGATTGAAGGCTGCAGCAACAATCTGCGTGTTCTGTTTTCAACAGTTAATAGATTAACAAACCCCCCTGTTCAAATGCCATTAGAGCTTACTTCCAAACGTAAATGCAATGAGTTTGCAAATTTTTTCAATGACAAGGTTCAAGGCATCAAAAACGCCATTGTCTCCAATCCACAGATAACCATCCAACAGCCAGAAAGGCTCTCTGAGCTAACTCACTTTGCACCTGTAAATGATAAAACTGTCCAAGAGATAATCTCCAGTTTGAGCTCCTCCACATGCAGCTTGGATGTACTACCCACTAGATTTCTGAAGTCTGTTCTGAGCAGTCTGTTACCTTCACTCACACAGATAGTAAACATGTCCCTTCATTCTGGAATATTCCCAAAGGCCCTGAAAACTGCAGTCATCAGGCCCCTGCTAAAAAAGAGCAGTCTCGATGCTACGGTACTTAACAACTATCGTCCCATCTCAAATCTGCCATTTATGGGGAAAGTCCTTGAAAAAGTTGTCTACCTACAGCTTACTAGATTTCTTATAATCAACAACTCATTTGATATGTTTCAGTCCGGCTTTAGACCCCACCACAGCACTGAGACTGCTCTCGTCAAGGTTACAAACGATATCCGGCTGAACACTGACGCAGGCAAAGTCTCAATCTTAATCTTGTTAGATCTAAGTGCTGCCTTTGACACCGTCGACCATGAGATCCTCTTACAGAGACTAGAGGACTGGGTTGGAGTCGCTGGCACCGCCCTAAGTTGGTTTAGGTCTTACCTTGAGGACAGGAAGTACTTTGTGGAGATTGGAAACTGTGTCTCAGATCATATGGCCCTGACCTGTGGAGTACCACAGGGGTCGATCCTGGGACCTCTTCTGTTCAATCTCTACATGCTGCCGTTAGGTCAGTTAATACGCAGAAACGAAGTTTCCTATCATAACTATGCAGACGACACTCAGATCTATGTCTCACTGACTGCAGGAGAACATGGACCAGTGGACTCACTCCTTCACTGTATCCAACAGATCAGTGAGTGGATGCAAAACAACTTCCTTCAGCTAAACACAGACAAAACTGAAATGATTGTCTTTGGTCCCCAGAAACAAAGAGAGAGCGTCATCTGTCACCTACAGTCTCTCTCCCTAAAACCTTCAAACAAGGTCAGAAATCTAGGGGTAATACTGGACTCAGACTTAAATTTTAATAGCCACATCAAATCAGTAACATCAGCAGCTTTTTACCATCTAAAAAACATTGCCAGGATCAAAAACATAGTGTCTAAAGCAGACTTGGAGATTCTTATCCATGCATTTGTCTCCAGTAGGTTAGACTACTGCAATGGCCTGCTCACAGGTCTGTCCAAACAGGCTGTAAAACAGCTGCAGTACATTCAAAATGCAGCAGCTCGAGTCCTGACAAGAACCAGGAAGTACGACCACATTAGTCCAGTCCTCAGGTCTCTGCACTGGCTTCCTGTGGCTCAGAGAATAGACTTTAAAACAGCTCTGCTTGTGTACAAGTCTCTCCATGGCCTCGCACCAAAATATATTAGTGACATGTTAGTCCCATATGAACCAGCCCGGACTCTGAGGAGCACAGGGACTGGACTCCTGTTAGTGCCCAGAGTCAGAACTAAACATGGGGAGGCTGCTTTTCAGATTCATGCTGCTAAAATCTGGAACAGTCTTCCTGGAGATGTGAGACAGGCCTCCTCTCTGACAATGTTTAAAGCCAGGTTAAAGACAGTTCTGTTTAGCTGTGCATACAACTGAGGGATTTTATATTTGTATCTTTCTTTTTAATGTTCTGTGATTATTTATGATTTTAATGCTTTCTTGTTTTGTTCAGCACTTTGAATTGCCTTGTGTATGAATTGTGCTATATAAATAAACTTGCCTTGCCTTGCCTTATGTTGTACTGTATTCTGTCTCTCTCTTTGACCTGCTCCTCTCCCTCTTTGACCTGCTCCTCTCCCTCTTTGACCTGCTCCTCTCCCTCTTTGACCTGCTCCTCTCCCTCCTTGACCTGCTCCTCTCCCTCTTTGACCTGCTCCTCTCCCTCCTTGACCTGCTCCTCTCCCTCTTTGACCTGCTCCTCTCCCTCTTTGACCTGCTCCTCTCCCTCCTTGACCTGCTCCTCTCCCTCTTTGACCTGCTCCTCTCCCTCTTTGACCTGCTCCTCTCCCTCTTTGACCTGCTCCTCTCCCTCTTTGACCTGCTCCTCTCCCTCCTTGACCTGCTCCTCTCCCTCTTTGACCTGCTCCTCTCCCTCTTTGACCTGCTCCTCTCCCTCTTTGACCTGCTCCTCTCCTGCACTGACTTATATAGTATTGGTCACATCATTTGCAACAGGAGTGTTCAGTTCTGAGATATTGTGTTTTCTGAATGACACCAGGTCTGTTCATTGAGTTCAGGTTTTGCTGACAGTGGGAGGCATTTGGCATCACATGAGCTTCACAATGCATATTGGAGCAGAGATACAGTACATGCAAAAAGTGTTTTAGCAAAGGCAAAATGTGTTTTAGCAAAGAAAAAATGTGTTTTAGCAAAAGCAAAATGTGTTTAGAGTTTTGAGAAAAAGGGGATGGGTTTTGTGAACAGTGTCTACAGGCGAATTGTGTTTATGGTTGTGAAAAGTGGGTGGTAGTTTTAGTAAATGTATTTTGGCAACTGGTCATTTGGTTTAGAGTACTGGGTTTTGTGTTGTAGCAACAGAGAAAAACTGTAATGAAGAACGTGGCAAGTTTTGCATCAAATGAGAAGTTTTTATCCGCCAATTCGTCACTGCTGGTAGCTTTTGTAGCATGTACTGTACAAGTCGACCGCTTCTGTCAAATCAGTCGGCCCTCGGGGGCTCCCTGTCGGTTTGGGGGCCCCATGCACCTGCCTGCCTTGCCTAATGGCAAGCGACGTCTCTGATCCTCAACTGTTTTTGTTCTCAACAAAGGAGCAAAAGCAAACTCACAATGAAGTACATGTGATACTGTGCAGTAATGTAAATACAGCCTGATGATAGAACTGTGACCGGACTGTCTGCTTCCCTCTTTCTCAGGCCATGGTTTGGTTTCTCTAATGTCATCAGAAATATTGTTTTGTACAACCACGTCCTCCTCCTCTTGCTCCTTGTCTTCATCTTTCTCTCTCTTGCTCATCCTGCCTCAAGACTTGCAAAGTTCTCAAAACTGAGGGCTGTTTATGTTTGGTAAATGTGTGTCGCGTTTAGTAAGTCAGACTTTTCAAGTGTGTTCTGTATGTAACTTATGTATGACACTGTGTGTAGTGAGCAGGAGAAAGTATGTTGCAAAAGGAGAAAGTGTGTTGCAAAAGGAGAAAGTGTGTTGCAGAAAGAGAAAGTGTGTTGCAAAAGGAGAAAGTGTGTTGTAGAAAAGAAAGAAAAGTGAAAAGTAGTACTTTTGTTGAAGGAATGGATAGATTATATTTAGGCTCAGTTCAAAAGCTTCAGGTTCTGTAACTTTGGCCATTGTGTGTGTCTGTAGTGTTCAAGCTTTATTCTACTCTGCTCTACTCTCCTCTACTCTACCTGGTGGTGTTTGCATCATTATACTTTAGTATCTGGAACCACATCCCAGCAACCATACCCACAACAAATCAGTATCTGGGGAAATTCCTTGGTAACCATGGCTTCCAGCAACACTCTGCCAATCAGAGTCAGTTAGAACACTTTAATATCAGCTCAGCATTGATCAAATCAGGACCAAGAGCTACTAAAGAAGGACCTGGGGGTAAACAGGTAAAGAGGGCTAGTGGAAACGCTGTCTTTCAGGGTAGAGTAGAATAGAGTAGTGAAGAATAGAGTTGTAGAGTACGGGAGGATTAGTGTAAACAGTGCTTTTGCTTTTCTTTTCTTTTTTAATATGTACTATATGACCCCCCTTGTGGAAGCAGAGAACCTCAACCTTGTCTCCTCAGCCTGGTCTCCTCAGCCTTGTCTCCTCAGCCTTGTCTCCTCAACCTTGTCCCCTCAACTTTGTCTCCTCAGCCTTGTCGGGTCAGCCTTGTCTCCTCAGCCTGGTCTCCTCAGCCTGGTCTCCTCAGCCTGGTCACCCTCAGCCTTGTCCCCTCAACCTTGTCCCCTCAACCTTGTCTCCTCAGCCTTGTCGGGTCAGCCTTGTCTCCTCAGCCTGGTCTCCTCAGCCTGGTCTCCTCAGCCTGGTCACCCTCAGCCTTGTCCCCTCAACCTTGTCTCCTCAGCCTGGTCTCCTCAGCCTGGTCCTCGGAGCCTGGTTCAGCTCTTGTTTCTGCTTTTTGTTCTGGCTTTTGTGATACAGGACACAGAATCCATTTGGGGATAACTCTACCCCTCACATTCTTCCACAGGTACGACCCAAGTGCTGCACGGGCAGAACGACACCAGTGTCTGTGGTAGAACTCAGGTGACATCAGTTGACAACTGTTTTGGTGAATGATCTGACTGACACATTTGATGAAAGACCAGGTCAGACGTGATCTCATGCAAATTCAAATATCTTTAATAATAATCTTTTAGTCGATGTGTTTGTGTTTGTCCCTAAATCACAACATGCTTACAGTAGGAGGACTTTACAAAGTTGTGGATTAGCCAACAACAGATCAGAAAATCAAACAGTTCCAGTACAGGAAATGCAATAATCACAAACACAAGACATTGGTCCATAGGGAGCGGGATGACCACTGTCCAGAAATGTTTTTTTTTTTTTAAGTCCAGAAATGACCCAGTATCCCGTGAAATTCCTTGGTAACCATGGCTTCCAGCAGCACTCTGGCCAATCACCGTCAATTAGAACACTTCAAGGGAAGCCGGTGGGATGAAGGGATAAAAAATCATGAAAAAATTAAGTTTTGCAATTACTTTCACTGCACACTTGTTCACTGTGATGATGCATTTAAAACATTGCACTTTGGTTGCTCATTCCCTCAGCTTCCTTTTCCAAGTAAGTAACAGCATAAAAGGACAACCCGCTTCGGACCACTTTACCGCGACGGTGAAAAGCCGGGCCACTTTACCGCAGTAAAAAACGAGAAATGGAGTTTCACTGCAGACCCTTCTTGCGTGAAGGGTCCCGGGTTTTCTATGAAGTAAGAATAAATGTCTCAGCCTTGGTGCCAAGACAGAGGTGAGTCTGACCAATGTTTGTGGTCATCCCAGGTCTCATATGGGCTTTGAATTTATTCAGTTCAGTCTCATATACTTATTTTCAGCTTGTCTTTATAACTCCTCTGATCTTCTTGCGTTAAAGTGCTTATATATTGTACATTTCGCTCACTGAGTCTTTTAAAAGTACTCGTCGGATCCATACTTCAGTATGTGCCGCTCTGTCTTTTTGCCACCCAGCGAGGGGCGCAAAAAGCCAGCTCGGCCTGGATAGAACCAGGGCTAAGAGGAACTAAAGAAGGACATGGCACTGGTTAAACAAGACTGAATCGTGGGGGAGAAGAGGAGAGGAGAGCGGGGGGAAACAGGGCTTGGTGTCTTTTAATTTACTGTTTGTACTGTTTACTCTTTTACAGAAATTCCACTATGGCTGTGGGATCACTGTGGGATGACCCTTCAGCATTCCCATCATCCCCACCTGTACTGCTGTAGTAGTTATATGGAGATTCCAAGAGTCAAAACACCATTCATCATAGATAATTGACTTAAGATTTTTGCTACTTTCTGCTTCTGCAAACATCATTAAAAGTACATTCATCAGTTGTCCTTCACAGTGTGTGTGGTATGTGAGCGATGCCCAAAGAGCTCATAATCAGGGCGTGTTGTTGGAGAGATGTTTTCTGTTGGTTTTTCCATTTGTTTTTTTTTGAGAAATTGAGAAGAGTCTGTTGTGTCTGAATCTTAATTACTATTATTATTATAGAGCTTTGTTTCGAAACACATAGTTTAAAAAGACAGGACAAGATCTCTGACACCAATGTCAATACGAGTCTATAAATGGTCATCTCTGTCCTTAGACCCTCCTGCATCAACAAGGAATCACTCAACAACCCAGTGGGAAAAGTGAGAAACCTCAGGGTGGCCCATATTGAGAGAGAGATCTGCTTTCACGCACCGACAGGCTAGATAGGGGTGGGTCCATTATTTTAAAGTCGGGGCCACATTGGATTATTGACATATTGTGGAGGGCAGACCCTTTAATTTGTAAACTACACATATTATCATGATGCCTTCTGTTGATTATGAATTATGATATGGTGCCTTTTTCCCCTTCTGTTTTATTTATCGACATGATGAACAAGGATGACTATCGCAAGTATTTGATGTAGCGGCTTTCAATGTGTCAGATTTCAAAATGGACTGTGTTGCTGAGAAGGAAAAAAGCGGAGTTTGCCTATGTCTGGGCTAGATCCAGGACTGAGGCTGAAGTTCCGTGACTGAGGCCACTCACACAAAGGACAGGGATGATCCAGGACATTTCTGCACATTGAGACATCCACGGTCTGCCTCTGTGGTGGAGCCAACGTAACGCTAATGCTGGAACAAATGCCCTTATAAGGAAATTAGCTCAAGCAAACTCAGGTTCAAATTAGCCTCTTCTAACACTGCCCCTCTCGTTCTGTTCACTCCTAATATACGCTCTATGGATTATTAAGTTTTTACTTTTTCCGACTCCTGCTTGGACATGCTCATTACTTGTTCATTTTTTCTGTATGTCCGTTATGGCTGTACAATGTCTAAATAAATACATTCATTCCTTCATTGTCAGTCTGAAACCCTGGGAGCCCTGCAGATCATTCTCATTAGGACAGCTCAGACACACTCTCCATCTCATTGCTCTTAAAATAATAGCGATGGATGTGGTTTTGCCTCAAACTTCTCTCAGACAGCCGTGGTTACTGTCGCCCAGCGGGGAGAGCCGGTGTGCAGACAACAGCAGACACTATTAACACTACACCAGTCATTAAGCAGACTGGAAGAGATGAGAGAGGAACAAAAAGCTTTTAATCTCCTCCGCGAGCACGCCCCTCTGTTTATGGGACATCCTGTAATCCCTATGGGCTTGAGATGGGTGAAGCGTTGGTACCATATCTTTAGGAGTGGTGGGATGGGTCAGAAATGGTGTTGTGGACAGATTCCAGTTATAAAAAGTCATAAAAACAAGGCACAGCCTGAGTCCTGGATCTACAGCCTCAGTCCTGGCTCTACAGCCTGAGTCCTGGATCTAAAGCCTCAGTGCTGGATCTACAGCCTGAGTCCTGGATCTAAAGCCTCAGGGCTGGATCTACAGCCTGAGTCCTGGATCTACAGCCTGAGTCCTGGATCTACAGCCTCAGTCCTGGATCTACAGCCTCAGTCCTGGATCTAAAGCCTCAGTCCTGGATCTACAGCCTCAGTTCTGGATCTACAGCCTCAGTTCTGGATCTACTGTGTTTCTGAGTGGTTCTTTGCTGATGCAGGACAGTGATGATTTGGGAAATGTCTGCCCATTTACAGTATTAACATTTCTGGACAGTGATCATACCGCTCACAATGGACTAATAATTCCTAAGTGTTATTATTTTATTTTCTTGTGTTCGAACTGTTTGATTCTCTGTTGCTGGTGAATCCACAACTTTGTAAAGTCCTCCGACACACAAATGTGTGGCAAAACAACAACAGTTACACCTGCTTCTACACACCCTTCTTCACTGGATATCACGGATGTTTTCCTCGTTTTCTCTCGTTTTCTCTGTCCTCGTGGAGCTGTGAAATAGTCCAGATAGCTGAGGGTCAGATGGACTTTCACACAAACACCAAACCTGAGCGGGAGGCCTCAGAGTGATAAAGACAGCTATGTTCCACTGCCCCACGTCCAACTGGGTCAGCACAGCCGTTTGTTTGCGCTGGTCCTGTTTGGTGATGTGTTTCACAAGAGAGAGAGCTGCCAGACTCAGTGTGAACGTGGTTTACGGTCTACAGGCGACTACAGGAGACTAAGTCACACAGTGCTAATTGAGCTTTTGAGCCAGACAAGTTAGAAAACCAGTCTGTTTGTGAGCTAAGGCCGATTCCTATGAGACGTATTAACTTTCTTAATCAAGCTGGTCGTTTGACCAAAGTAAATAAAACTGCGTGTGGGTAATGGTAACTGTACAGTGACGGACTGTTGTGGTGAAGCAGGACTGTTGTGGGTCATGACCGGAAGGACGACATCACGGATACAAGCTGCAGTGGCGCCTGCAGTGCCCCCCCCCCCCCACCCCCGACAGGAGGTGTTAAACTGACAGGAGGCACGTTGCTGTAGTTTGCACACGCGCCTGACGCACTCGTGCACAATGCGTAACTTTCTTCTCTGACAGTATCTGAGAACACGACCGAGTGCAACACGAGCGTTCAGGACACAGTTTTGAGCATTCATGAGGCAGGGCCTTGTTATAATAGATCCATGGGCAGGACGCAGCTCTGTGTCTTCTGCAATAGCCTAGCTCCGCAGGTTGGCTTATTGACAAACTGTTCCATCGGATTTTAGCCTCAGCTCTGCCGCAGCCGTGTTTGCTCTGGTCGGGGCAAAACCTGGCTCTTCTGGACCTGGCTCTCCTGGTCCCTCTGTCTCTGTTTTTTCTTGAGAAAGAAAGAACGATATATTCACCTCCTTCAGCCGTAGAGGGTTGACGAAACTAAAACTGGTGCTATACATACAGTATTAGCGTTTGTGTTTGTTTCTGATTATCACATAAACGTAGATCAATGGTCAGCATTGATAAGATAAGATATACTTTATTGATCTCACAAAGGAGAAATTTACAATGTCACGTCTCTGTATTGTTTATCCAATCAAAAGGCATGCATGCTCTGAGGGCCTTCGAGCTGGCCCTCAGGAAAAAGACTTGACACTGATTGGTTAATGCCACAGGTTCGTTCTCATTGACTGTAAGCCACCGCGGGCCAGCAATGTAGACTCTGAAGGCCTAGAGGCAGATTTTGGGTCATAGCAACACATGACGCTGAGCAATGATTGGATAAAAACTCTAAAAACACTAGACCGCACCAGACCTCCCAAATGTCAACCTGAAGTTGGAAACTGCGCAACCAACCAAGTTTGTGAAAAAACAAACATAGAAAACAAAAAATAATATTAAGAAAAAATATATATTATTAAAAAATATACGTAATCACGTTTGGACCAGCAGTGAAGGCCTTGCAGGCATTGAGGGTCCGCCACTGGAGGTAGGGGGAGGAGCTCAGTCAGGTGGGAGGAACTCAGACTTGAGCCGCTGCTCCCTTAGAGATAGGGGAGGAGCTCAGTCACACAGGAGGAGCTCGGAGTAGAGCCGCTGCTTCTCCACATGGAGACGAGCCAGTTGAGGTGGCTCGGGCATCTGTTTGGGATGTTGATGGCACGTCCCACTGGGAGGAGGCTTGGAGAAGACCCAGGACACACTGGAGGGACTGTGTCTCTAAGCAGGCCTTAGGAACATTCAGGGTT